AGAATTAGCCAAGGTGTCATCATCTGAGTCTTTCTTCATGAATCCTCCATACCGCTTAGCAAGAATTTCTCCTCCAGTGGTTTCCTCCTCTGGTTCTACATGGTAAAGCTCATCCATTTTCTTCATGAAGCCACCGTACCTTTTCATGAAGCCACCATACTTCTTCGCTAGCAAATGGTTCTCATCCTGTTCTTTCTTGTTGTCTACTGGAGCGCTGTTGCCCTCCGCAGAAAGATCCAGTTTAGTCAGTTGTAGAATCTCCTTGCAGGTTTCCCAGGCTTTTGAAGAAGGCAGTTTTCCCTCACATTCTAGTGTGCATGCCTGAAAAATTGATGCGATTTACTAAGACTGGTTTAGTAGAAACAAACACCTTGGTGTTTTCTGGCTTTTACTTATTTATTTTAAAGCACAGAATCCAACCTTTATGAATGGGTTGTAGAAATTTCCTTTGTCTACAATTTATTTAATAGTTGTTATGTAGTTCTTTCACCTTTCTAGGAAGCAGCTGACACTGTCCTCTGTAAGAGGCAGGACACTGGGCTAGATGGATTGTTGTTCTGATCTGTCATGGCAATTCATGATTATATTTTAAACAAAGACACAAGTGTGCACACTCACACACCTCTATTCTGGCTTGGGAATATAAACAAAAATTGAAAAAAATATGAAGGTTCATGAGTAGATCCAAAAAACCTCTATTTTATTTATCACTTCTTATCCACTCCTGTTATGAAGTCACTTAAAAAATACAAACAGTTATAAGAGTTTATTGGATCCTTATAAAATAAGGTAATGTTAATACATTTTAGGAAAATCTTAGTTTGGTAAATTTTCCATCCTGTATACAAATGTGACATTGCTATCCGTGTTGGCACATTTACTTACAAGTTAGAACATAAAAAGACAATAATAGTGAAAAGAAGCCACCTGTAATGTGATGTTCTAAGTATCTCCAGTGGCTCCTATAGTTTTATTACTCTATAGTGTCTTTTCTGTTTTTATTGTTTTAACAAATATTTCAAATATACTTGGGTTCAAATTTTAAATGAACACATAGAAATATAGGTTTTGCTATGCAAGATTAGACTACAGGTCTACATAGTCTGGGTACTGTAGTAGTGTCAGATATGAGGAAGATGAATATCACTAAGTAGCTCTGTACAGAGAAGAAAAACTGCCTCTTGACCTACATAATCATTTTACATGCTGAAGTATAGCATAAGTTAACAAAACATAGATAAATGTTGTACAATGTAGCTTGTCATAGTTTACCTACATGTACTAGAGAAAATAGTTAATATTGCTATTCATTAGTAATAATTATTGGTATGTCATGGAAGTTATTTTCCATGCAGTCATGATCTTCAGTAACATAGGAATGAATTACAATATACCAATATTTGCTCTTTTCATCCATAATTTTTCTCCTTTTCTATGCCACTGTGATTAATTCTATAAAGAACCACTTCAATGTTCTCAGTGCTGTTTTTTAAAAATTATTATGTAAGATGCCAAAGTGAAAAGTCAGAACAACATATAAGCACCTTTAAGTTTTAGACCTGAATAGCTCAAAATGTGTCATGACAAGGATTTTGACAAAGATTAAATAGGTTTAGATAAAACTGAATTAAATGAACAGTTATGTTGAAATTGTTTCACCGCACAAAATAATTTCCATTGTACTTTCTTATAATTTAGAATAGATGGCACTCTAACAAGTGAATAAATCACTACAGTTATAGTCTCATAAATGGTGAGAAATTTTAAGTCATGGACTAATTACATTTGAAATGCTGTGTACTTTTACATTCATTATTAATTTTATAGTTTCCATTTCTTTAATTATAGATGAAAACAAATAACAATAAGGATATTTGATTTGCCTATATTGGGAGCATTCTGTCTATGGATTTTATATGCTTTAGGACTGTTAAACTAATAGCAACTGATTAGTTTACTAATTCTGTGATTAGCTATGTTTTTAATCTTTTTATAATTGTATAACTGTCCATGGAACAGAAAGTTTAGGCTGTAATGATTTTCATATTAATAATCACTAGGGATTAATAGGTTAACCTGAGATGCTGTTCAAAGCAGTTTATGTTGCTTGCAACATTTCACTTGGAAAGTGCCTCTAATTTTCAGCTTTTTTAATTGGCACTGCATGAATATTTTCCTACAAAAACATTTTCATTATATCAATGATATGATCTCAGCTGCAGTCTGATTTGGAAATTTCTGTAATAGAAAATAAGCAAAACATTTTTCTTTTTTTGTTAGTAGATCTGTTTCAACAAACACCCTCCCAACTCTAATAAACATGCCCCAAATACTTTGTATGTAATAAATGGTGTGATTACATCCTCTGGTGTGCAATATGATAAAAGTAAGTATGAACTCACAGGGTATGTTTAAATTTCCTGGTGCTCAATATGATAACAACAAATATGAACTCACAACATGTTAATGTGTCTCTCTGGAGTTGCTGTTAGTATAGAAAAGATTATCTGGTTTGTGCCTTCACTCTTGTGTTATATCAGCTGAAAAAATGCTGTTACTGAGCAGTATAACACTTTTTTCTACCTCTGATGAAATTTGTACACGGAAGCT